ATCTATTTATGTTTTTTCAAGACAGGGTTTCCCTGTGTAGCCTTGGTTGTCCTGGACTCACTTTGTAGACCAGGCTGGCCTGGAACTCACAGATATCCTCCTGCCTCTGCCTCCCCGAGTGTCAGGATTACAGGCGTGAGCTACCGTGCCCAGCCACAAACTTCTTTTTCTTAGGCTCTTCGTACGAATTTTTTGTTTTTTTGAAATTCTTTTCTTCGGCCTCTTCTCCTTTCTCCTAAGTACCCCAAAGCCTTTCTCTTGGGGTAGGTAAAAACCTCATTAACCTCAGAGTCCTCAGCGCCCTCAGGAGTGTTAGGAATGCTAAGCATTCACAGTCATTTACTCTCACAGTGAACACTTATGAGACTCTGCCTGAACCACTAGCCACAAAAGTGCCTGTTTTTAATTCTGCCTTAAAAATGAACGGTCTGGACGCCAAAAATAAGCCAGAGTCTGAACTAGTAATTCTGCTTAAAAAAAAAAAAAAGATTCCTCAAGGGAACTTACAACTCCCCTTGAATCCTCACAGGATGGCGTTACCTGTGGTGATGAGGTAGGATGCTAGGATGGAGAGGTAATTGTCATACAAGACTTGCCCAGGACTGGTTAACTCCCCGTACCTCTGGCCCCTCTATGCCACTTCTTCCTCTGTTTGAGGATAAAGTGCAGGTCGGCAGTGTGAGAACGAGCGTGGGGCTACTGGACCCCTTTATTTTCCCTTGATGCGGGAACATCGAAGACGTCTCTCTCTGCCTTTCACCATTCCTGGGAGAGGATCCGCACAAGGTCTCTTGGGATTGTGAGTATTAGGGAAGCCCAAGTCATGTGCCTAAGACCACACTGCTGTTAGATACTGGGAAAACAGATCTTTGAAAATAATGATAATAATTAACATACCAGGTATTATTTATCTGGTGATTACTATTTTCCGGTTACTTTCCCAAGTTCTTTGCATAGATGAACACATTTAATCCATACAACTAACACATGAAGTTGGGCTAAACTGACCTCCATGCAGTGATAAGAAAACTGGCACACAGGGTTACAGTAACTTGCTCAAGCCATGTGGCACAGTGAAACCCACAAGTGTTGCTCAATTCTCTGGTAAACGTCAAAAGCATGAGAAGGAGACCTGAAGTCACAGAGGGGTTACGAAATGAAATGAGACCTAGGCATACAGCTCAATGGTAGGGCACTTGTCTTTCACTCACAAGGCCTTGTGTTTAATTCCCAGTACTGAAAGAAGACAAAACTGGAGTTCTGGATATCCCCCCTTCCTGTTACAGCACAAAAGATCAAGAGAGAGAGGTCCTGTGCTGCTCAGGGGTGTTTGACATGTAAATCTCCAGGGAAACTCTGATCTTCTGAAGCCTGAGCAAGCCCTTGAATGTACTATGTGGTGTAATATGAGGCATCTCTTCAGAACAAACAACAAAGCATTTGTCTGTCATTGCTGTGAGCAGGAGAAAACTCTCCAAACAGGTATCCTTGGTGATGGAAGTATAGTCAGAGAGAGCACTCAACTGCTGCTCTTGCTCAGTTGTTGAACTGTGGCCGGTCATAGACACTGGCAGCCTCACGAGCCCTCTTAGGAAGGAAGAGGAGACTCGAGAGTCAGAGTATAGCTTGACCGTGTGCGAGTCCCCATGTTTCTCTTAATTGCTTCTAAATACTAAGATGTAGGTACCTGCAGTTTAGTGAGCATGTCTATAAGAGAAAACTATGGCAACTATTGACACCGGCGTATGCTTTCTAAGGAGAACCAATCTATCGAGAAGGTTATGAAATACTCCAAAGCATCATCCAAAAACCCTTGCTAACTGCTTGCTCTAAACCAAGCCAGCCTCACAGGCAAATGTGGACCGTTTGAGCAGGAGTCGCCCAAGGCTTCCCAGCACCCTGAGGGAGGCTGACCATCAGTGTCTCTATCTAAATCGTATTCATGAAACTCCCCAAACTTGGTTTGTTGTCTTATAGGTGGGCAGACTTGATCACAACCGTCATTTAAAGAGCATTTTAGCCTTTTCCCATTCTTACTCGTCTCCTATTGTCTTTGTGAGTTTGCATGCATTTGGGCTATATCCTTGACTTGATCCTGTAAAGAGTATAAAGGAGGTAAGTTCATGCAGAGGAAAAATAACAAAGGAGGGACTTTCCTACAAGATCTTTGAAAAAGGGAACATTTGCATAAGCCATATTTAACTAGAGTCTTTGTTTTATGTTTTTCCTTTCTAAGGGCTTTGGTCCACTCCCTGCTACTCTCCACCCTCCCATTAATCGGAGAACAAAGGCTTCAAGAAGCCTCACAGGGACCTTCCTGGCTCATCCTCTTAGTGCCAGGATAATTATATTTAGTGGCTTGCATCTCCTGATTGCATTTCTCTTCCCTCTTAAACCATCAGATTCTTTCCCTCTCTTGGTGTTGCTTTCCAAAGATCATGGTACAAACTTCAAGAGCTTAAACTTGGAATTTAAAGCATGTGATGGTGTTTTGCACTTCTGCTTTCCTTTAAGCCGGTAATATTTGTCTGCTGGTTCTGATTTCAAAACTTTGTCTCTACTTAAAACCTGGTTTTAACATAAGCCTTATCTAGGATGTAATTTTGTCTTTTAATTCTGTTGCCCTTTGTTAAATGTTCGGAGCCTTAATGCCCATTGCCTCAAGGGCAGTTAGGAGTTTCCTCTCCCTCTAACGCTGGACCTGTGAAAGCAACTGATGGCAACTGACCCCTATAACATCTTCCTTACTTTCCTTCCTTTCATCTTTCCTTCCTTTCTTCCTCCTTTCTTTCCCCCCTTTCTTTTTTATTCTTCTTTCATACATTATATACTGACTGCAGTTTTCCCTCCTCCTCCTTTTTCCTACCTTTCCTCCCCCCAGATTCACTTCCTCCCCGTTTCCTTTCAAAAAAAAGAAAAAGAAAGAAAAGAGCAGGCCTCTCAAGGATATGCACTGAGCACGACCTAACAAGATACAACAGACCTGGGCAGAAAGCCTCATATTAAGGCTGAACAAGACAACCCAATAGGAGGAAAAGGATGCCAAGTGCAGGCAGGCAAAATTGTCAGAGACAACCCTACTCCCATGGTTGGGAGTGCCCCGAGAACACCAGCTACACGACTACAAGTTATATGCAGAGGACCTACCTAGCTCTTCTCACACAGGCTCTGTGTTTGTCACTTCAGTCTCTACGGGCCCTATGAGCCCTGCTGGGTTGATTCCGTGGGCCATGTTCTTGTGGTGTCCTCAACCGTTCTGGCTCCCGCAATCCTTCCTCCCCATCTTCTGCCATGTTCTCCTGCCCCCCCACCCCCCGGTGTTTGGCTGAGGGTTTCTGCATCTGCTCCCATTGGATGACACTTCTCTGAGGACTACTGGGCTGGGCACCAGTCTGTGAGTATGGCAGAATATCACTGGAATCATTTTACTGATTTTTTTCCCCAGTCATGTCTAGATGTATGGATTTCCCTGGGAAGGGGAAATAGAATAGATTTTGCAGGTGGGCTCGGGATAGATTGGGATGAGAACAGGCGGGATCAGGCAGGGAAGGTATAGGAAGGATAGAGGAGAGGGTAAAGGGAGAGATGACTGGAACTGGGGGTCTTTGGAGGGTGATGTATAAACCCAGTGCAGTGAAAACTCCCCGGAATCTGTGAGAGTGACCCTAGCAAAATCTCCTAGCAATAGGGGATACTAAGCGCTCTGGCCATCTTCTAGAACCAGGCAAGGCTTCTAGCCGTGAGACTGGGACACCAACCCAGCCACAAAACTTTCAGCCTACAGTCTGCCATGCCTGCAGGATGCGCTGGGGCACAGAAGTCGTGGCATGGCCAAACAATGGCTGGCCCAGCTTGAGGCCTTTGAGTGGGGGCACACACCTCACACTGCCTGGATGACCAGGAGACGCAGAGACCCAGGAAAGAACTAAACACGATTGGCAGTAGCATTTTTTTTTTCAATAATAATTTTTTAAAATTTCAATTCCATTTCACAACATCACAAAGCCGTTGACACGATATCACAATAACCCTGTGTAGTAAGCAGGTAGATGTCCTTATTTTACAGGCAAATAACCTAAATCTCACAGCAATAAATTCTATAGATATTTGGGGAAATTTGCCTCATCATTATATTAAAATTCTTTAAATTACATATTAACGTACGCCATGACTATAAGATGGTATTTTGAAATCTGTATACATTGTGCTTCTTTTTTGGTTCCTTGTTCTCCACATTTGAGCCGAATAAGGATCTCAGGCCGGGCAGTGAGCCCTTCAGTCTGTTCTTTGTGCACTCTCCTTCTCCAAAGGTTGCACTCTAGAATCCGTGGAAGTGTGATTGACAGCTACTAGTACACATTCAGACACACAGGATGAAGGGTCTTTTGCAATAGCAATAGAATCTGAAGTGACTTTAAGAAAGAAAAACATGATCTTTGTTAAAAAAAAAATACTCACACAAGATGTGAAAATGAGTGTAAAATCAGCATTATTCATGAAACAGGAAAATATTTCTGGCCATTTTCTTTTTTAATCAATCAATCTTTCTTCTTTCTTTCTTTTTTTTTCTTTTTTCTTGCTCGCTTGCTTGCTTTTCCTTTTTCTTTTTTTTTTTTTTTGATGTGTTCATTTATTTAAGCCTCAACATTTGCTTGTTTGTGTGTTTGTTTTGATCTCACTCTTTAGCCCTGGATGGCCTGGAACTCACTATGTAGACCAGGTTGACCTTCAACTCCCAGAGCTCTGCCTCACTCTGTCTTTGCCTTCCAAGTGCAAGGATTAAAGACATGCCCCACCCCAGCAAACTCCAGCCAGTTTCTAACAATGTTCTGTCCTCCCATAGGAATTCAGGCACTGGAGTTAGCTGAATATTTGTCGCTGTGCTTGTATACTTTTTCTAATTTATTTGAATGTATTTTAATCATTTACTGTTACTGCTCTAGTTGATGGTATGAACCCGAGATCGTGGAGTCTAAAAATGAGACGGGCTAAAGTTTTATGCAACAGCCATCTTTATTCAGAGCAGCAGAAACCTTATATTCTGAGAGTCAGGCAAAGTCATATAAGCAAAGTTCAAGAGCTCAGGCTGTATGGAGTCATGAGAGAAAGGTCACATGAGTTTAGGCAAGGCCACATGAGCCCTGAGGGCAAGGCCACATTAGTTCAAGCCATAGGTACAGTCATGAGGGCAACTGGTGCTTGGCTACATCACCTAAATAATAAGAGTAGATGATGGGGAATCTGAAGTAAACCCACTCCTATTTACACCTGGGAGGGGCACGACAGCACATTCCAAGAACAAATCCGTATTACAGAGGAACAGTGGCTAAAAGACTCTTGCCTTGTTTACTTGGTCTGTTCTCCAAAGCTCTCAGAAGTCTCACATGGCTTCAATGCACTGACCGTGTTCCCACAATTTACCAAGTGTCAGGTAACAAACGAGGAGCTCCAGAGATCTGACACAATCTCTCCCCTCAAAAAAAGGTACAGTCTCATCTAGGAAAACACAACATCTATTCTGATATACAAACAGAAGACTAAGTAACATTTTAAAATATCAGGTTATATTTAGATGCACCAAATGCATTTAAAAGGCAGAATAAAGCCAGAAAATGAAGTAGCCTATGGGTTGGTCCAGCTAAGGAGCTAGTGATAAAAGACGCGGCAAGGATTGGAGACAACTGTCCTGAATCTTAAAGAATTGAATTTAGGAATCTGAGTAGAAGATATTAGAGAAAGGGAAGGCTGTCATTCCAGCATGAGCCCAGGAATCTTTCTACCTGTTTTAAGTTGTCTTCATAACATTAAAGACATATTCTGTGCGGCTCCAAGACAGTGGGTTGTGTCATCATTAACAATTAATGATCATCAAGTGCTGACTTCAAGGAATCTACAGGGATCTACTAAAGAAAAGGGAAAACTCTGAACTAAAAATCAATGCAGGTGGTTTTGTCTTCCTTACTGTCCAGGGCTATGACGCACTACTTCTAGAGGTTAGCCACCTAAGAAAAGGACACAGGGAAGGTCAATGGGAGCAACTCCTGTGGCTTCCTTTCACAGAAAGCGAGGTCATGTGAAAACAGGACTTTTCCAAAGAGCATCATTCTTTGGAGGTGGAAAGCAAAGATAGTTATCAACTTTATCATAGTGTATGGACTATGTGCAAGGAACCTGAATTTCTCACTTACGCATATTTCAAATTTTCATTGTGTCTGGCATCAAATACAATACTGGATTGAAATAGGAAATAAGAGTTAGGAAAGAGCAAAATCAGATATCTTTACATTCCACAGTAACCCCTTTCCTCAATAGTCTTATCTGTTCCTCATCAGAAAAGATAATAAAACACTGTGCTGTATGAACAAAAATTGTGGGCTAGGGTTAAGGGGATGGAGTAAGCAGGAGGGGGCTAGAAGGAGCTGTTGGTCATATAGAAATCCTTCCAGCGATACCAAGCAAACACTTCATCTTCAGCATGGGAGATGCCCGTGTGCAAAGTCTTCGAGGGAGGATTTGAAGTTCTCGTTCAGTGGTTTTCTTCGTACCTCCTGAGTTTCCTTTCACTGAGGAGGTATCAGTAGGGATCATCATCCGCCCTGAAAGAGAAGTGAAATTAAACCAAGGTGCTCTTCAAGGTGTTAGGAATGCAGGTGAACATTCTCTCAGTGAGAGAGGCAAGGAAACTATAAACACTGGAGTGCTGGCAACGGAGGTAGATAGCCACTACCATGAAGAAGAGGAGCAAGGAAATGCTTCCATTGGAAATCGGGGACAAGATGTGGAACACTTAAAAACGAATGGAAAAGAGACACTACAGCAACGTTTTACACATTCATGTGTTACCACCCCCAAAGTAATGTCTTAAAGATTTATTTTTAAGTGTGTGTGTGTGTGTGTGTGTGTGTGTGTGTGTGTGTGTGTGTGTAGGAGTGAAGTTGCCTGAGGAGGCCAGAAGAGGGCATCGGATTCTCTGGGGCTGGAGCTGCAGGCAGCTGCGAGCCACCCAGCGCAGGTGCTAGGGACTGAACTTGGGTTCTCTGCAAGAGCAGTACACATGGCAGCTGCTGAATCAGCTCTCTAGCTCCTCTCTCCAAATATGTGTTTAAAAGGTAAACTTTGACTCAGCCTGAAGTCCCGCTTCTCTAAGAAACTCCACAGTGATGTTTACACCACTGGCCCACAGATCATATTTGCTCATATTTCTGCAATACTGCTAACTTCCATGTCTAACATGGGAAGGATACGGCGTAGAGAAGCGGAAGATAATGTGGAAAGGGAGATCAGAGAAAATAAAAAACTCATGGAAAGAGTGGCAATAGTCCTAAATGTCAGGTTCTAGTAGAATATGATTTAGAGGGGCAGTGACAAATTTAGATTCATGAAACAGGTACTGCTGTGTTCTATGTTACAACTATGCCATTCTTGGAAAGAGTGGAAAAGAGCCATATTTGTGTGTTTTTGCACCCTTCAAAAGGAGAACCACACACTCAGGCTCCGGTCTCATGCAGAACGGCAAAGGCAAACCACTGCGGCAGCTGCAAACTTGCTTGCCAGTATAAAAATAAAAAAAAAAAAGTTTCTGAAAGCAGAATCTCTCACATACCCTCCTCTGAGGTTGGCATCGTATCCTGTGTATGTTGGGTGTAGCTTTTTACCCAGGTAGAATTTAGAAACCAGAAACCAAATGAGGTGATAAACAGAACCAGTTTGCAGAAGAGTCAAAATAACCAGCAAGAATCAAAACCACAAATGCCCAAAGAGTCATTCATTCATCAGCCCAAAACTAATAGGAACAGGTACAAAGACCTGTGAGAATCGACTTAAGTTAGGGGGACAAAATAGTCAATGTTTAGTGTCATAGTATTCATCTTCCCCTTGACTTGTTCTAGAGACACACCCTGTTTCTTCCACCACACCCTTCCTCAGTGCCATCACACCATGGGTTAGTGTGAAAAGAAGTCATTTTACTGGAAGAGAAGGGGCTCAGGAAGTAAAAGCCCTAACGTGGAAGTCAAGGGGCCTGAGATCTGGAAGCATAACAGTTACCAGGGCATCGTCCCTGGATGCTTTTCCCTCTACCCAATGACTTCCCTTAAGCCACCGTCACCTTCCCTTCTTCCGTTTCTTTCCTATTATTAGGGATAGCGATGCCCCCTGTCCCTACAGGCTTGTAGATGATGTTTAACCATTTAAGACTCAATAGACTCAGCACAGTATGTGACACGGAGTGTGTATTTGATGGAAGTTTCTTTCTGTCCTTTATTTATTATTGTAACTCTGTCCCTGGCACATGGCCCATGGCTAGGTTACTTACGTAACTACAAAGACAGTTTTAACATGTCCTCCATCTTCCTAGTCTAAAATTTTATGAATTAGGATCACCTTAGTCAGTGAGAGATGTCTCAAGGCGGCAAATCGGCTTCCAGGTTCCAGAACACCTGGTGGTCAGGTGCTCAGGACACAAGCTAGTCTGAGGCAGACAGCTTTCCTGTCAACCTCTATGTTTTTGCACAGACCCTCAATAAACTAAATAGAAAACTCCACTCCTGGCCCCCAAATTTGATTTTAATTTTAGCCCCACCTTCTCATGTCATTGTTTGAGTTATTTTCCTACTCTGAACTTTTTGATGACTCACAGACTCTGCCTTTTTTGTAAGATTTTCTGGGATCACTTAGATCAATGATTTTTTTTTTCTTTTCATCAGTACAAAATTCATCAGCCATTAACCTTTCTGGCTTTTATTGTTTTTCACTTCTAAATATTTCTGTCTTAATTCTCCGATTAGATAATAATTTCCCTGAGGTTAGAGTCAAGGACTTACTGATCTGAATGTCTCAGTTAAGCTTAGCATTGTTCTAATATTAACAAAAAAATTTCAATAAACAACTATTAATTGAGTAATTGTAAATAAAAAAATCAACCAACTGTTAAATTTAATAGTCGATTGCTAATTAATTTTATGTTAATATTATTTTTTGATCAGAATCCCCAGCTGGCCTTTTCAATCCTTGAATGAGTTGAACTACTTCAGTGCAGCGGAGATCAAAGGGGGTGTTTCTCAACAGTCTACACTGTTACTCTACAGGAAGAATTGGAACCCCGAGAACAAGCTGGGGGAGATGCTTCTTTAGGGAAGTGGCGGGTAGATTTGACACTCCACGGCTTTGCCTCACTGCCGAAGGTCCGTGCTTATTAGAGTAGTAATCATTCTCCCTTCTCTGTTAAGTATCGAGCTGCCTATGCCTGGGCAGTTACTTTTTACAATATGTTAGTTGTTGGAAATGCGTGTTGAGATGGATGTTTCTCTGTTGTTACATGTTAGTCCTGTAAGTTAAGACATGAGAAACATCACAGCATGCTTCTAACCGTTAAGGAAAAATTCAGAGACTACCCGGAAACATTCCCATCCTATGAAATCCCCTTTTTCATTAGACACATTTGTATTCCTTTAGCATTCAAAACCACAAAGATTTTAATGGTGGCCAGCCTTGAATTACCTTATCTGAAAACGTCATTTATATGAGACCCCTATATAAGTAACTATTCTGGGGTTGGTGTTCCATCTATAACAAGAAGCACCCCAAGGAAAGAAGAAGTGAAATAAATAGAGGTGGAAATTTTCCATTGAAAAACTTACCTGTTCTGAGATTTCCTGCCTAAAAATAGAAGAGAGAAAAGAAAAACGATATGATCAAAAAAGTAGACAATTTCAATTTATTTTAGGTAAAGGAGAGGCCCGCCCCCATAACTGTCTCTTGAAGTACATTAATAAGTGGACACCCATCTATGACTAAGTGGATGGGAGATACCAGGGACCTTTCAGGGGCACCAGTGAACGTCTGATACTGTAGCCTAACAGACATGACGATGCTGCTTCTCGGGATCCCACTCCATCTCCTGTGCTGCTCACAAAGCCAGAACCTAGGCTGAATTAACTCCCTACCGGTAGGGCCCAGTGTCCCATTCCTACGTTTATACCACATCTCATCCTCACCCCAACCCCCACCTAAAGAACTTAATTGTCCTTCAGCTTCTCCTATGTGAATCCTGAGAATTTTACTCTGGTCTTATTGGCAGGAATCAGTGAGAATCACACAGCCTAGTTTGAGTAGTGTGTTCTCATCTGTCGTGTGCAGTCATATGTATAATTCCTATGTCATAAATACTTCTGTTTCCTCTCTTGACAGGCTGCACGGGAGCTGGATGTGAAAGTCTCTTAGTTTTGCTGACTGGGTCGGGGCTTTCTTTCCCTTACTCTTTAGCTAGGTGATTTTGGTTGACTATACAAAGTACATTTTGTGAACTGGAACACAGTTTCTTTTTAATAGAAAAAAAAATCATAAATATTGATTACTTAATGGTCTGAAGAATTGAGGTCTGTAGGAAACAAAGGGAAAAAAACAGAAAGAAAGCTTTCTGAGGAAGAAGAATCCTTTGAGAAGGGGGAGGGGGCTAGGTTTGGTGTATTTCAGTGGCTGTAAGTTCATATTCGAGGATCGTCCCTCACAGATCTTGGCTTCCTTATTGGGTTAATTAAAGAAAAGGTATTTAAAATGTTTAGGCCAAGGCCTGGCATATAATAACACAGTACTCAACTGCTTTTTAAAATATTTTAAAGTTCTAGAAATTAGTATTTCAAACTTTTACTTTCAAAATTTAGCTTGCAGATGATATAGACAAAATGCATAGATTGGGGAGAATCGAGTTTGTTCATCTTTACAGAACTGTGTGTGTGTGTGTGTATGTGTGTGTTTTCTTTTTAGGAGCAATGACAATAGATAAACAAAAATCTGGTCTTATTGAGGGAGTCCTGCTGAGGGAGCATCTTTTTGAAGAGGACTAAGGGACGGTGCATTCAGGTTCATGTACTGGACTAACCCTGTGTGTTGGGTCAGATGAAAAATTCTTCCAACCGAGTGGGAGGGTGGGGAAAGAAAAACAGCCCTATGACCCTGAAGGCAAGCACTTTTGAGGGGTGCTCTTTTGGACGGGTGAGCTACTTCTGACTTGAGCTTTTGCTAATGAGAGATTCTAGAGCTTGGCCTTAAAAAATGTCATTGACTTGGGAAATGAGAAAATCTAAAAGTACCAAGTGTTTCTAGCTGAGCCCATAGCCAGGGTACCCGTTTGTGACGTGAGCTAAAGGAAAGCTAGGAGCCTAGACCTTTAGGGCCCTGGCGGCCCTTGCTCCAGGTTCCTAGCATCCACCAGAGAGGGAAGAAAGTTTGGCTCCCCTATTGGCCCTCATACTCTGGATCGTCACTTGTCTCCTTTCCAGTTTGATTAATTCAATAAAACTATAACATGTATGTAATACTGCATAAGTGTAGAATTATTCTTTTCACTATGATTCTTACAAATGTGTCTGTTTATCTCTATGGGTTTATCTTGGGGAACTAGCCACCAAGTCTACCAGTGTTTCTATAGGAAAACGACATCAACAACAAAAACCAAACCCGGTACTAGATACTACTCATCTTGTAAAGAGCTAACTTACAGGTAAAATTTTGGAGGACAAAGTCACTCACTTGCAAGCTTGAGGGATCAGCAAATGTTGCACAATTGAAGACTATTGAACTCAGCATAGTTAACCCCTGTTTGCCTCCAGAGTCAGTGATCTCTGGGAGTTGCCACTCTCTTTGGTAGTATAACTGTCACTAGCCCAAGTGCCCGTTATCTGTTTCCTGTTTGCCCCACTCTGATTCCCACAGCAGGGGCATGCCATTTTCACATTATCAGTTTGAGATCATGTACAGAAATGACTGACTCCAAGGTTAAAACCTTAAAAACAACCTCCTGCTTCACTCACAACACAGCCCGAGCCAGCTAGCACCCATCAAATGCATGTGACTTCGCGTCTGCAACCACCTCTGTAAAGGATGAAATTTGGGGATCCGTATTCTCCTCATTAACGGGGCTTACGATCTTTGAAGTTACTGAGCTAATAATAGTCACCTCAGGGAGCATGTGTGATGACTGACTGGCCTTGTCCCACTCAAGGCAGCAGGACAGTTGGGCGAGACTAGGAAGTCTCAGTGAACAGACTAATCAGTGGTGAAAGAAAAGATCACTTTTTGCTTTGTGCTCATGCTGGAGTCAGTATTTGGTATGGTCCCGTGTGGTGGTGCTATCCAAAGTCTGTGAAGTTTCTGTTGGCAGAAGCGACATTTGAACTGTTCCGTGCTGACATGTGACAGTTGGCGGTGTTCTTGTACACAGATAGGGCAGTCTCTGTGGTCTTCATGGATTGGTGGGGAATTACGCTATCGCCTCTTATTTTTAAACTTGGACCGAAGGTCAAATCATAGCTAAGAGTTAGAGACTGGTAGATAATAGTTGCCAGTGTATACGCGCTGGGTAACAGAATGCATATGAGTCTGACAGAAAGGAAATTGAAGCAGTCATCAGCTTACACCACAGGAAGTAGCGTAGAGGAGCTGGCAATTGTTTTAAGGTCATTCATAGTCCCTGACCTTAAGACAGGGGGATCTTTAAAGTTTTGAATAGATGTGCTAGATAAACTTGGGCAAATGTGGTAGTGCGTGTTTAAAAGCTGCTGTAGACTGTGGGCATGTGGCTAGCACGTTGTTCTCACCTGGAGGCAAAGGCATAGTCAGGAGGGAAGACAGGCAGATAAGGAAGACTGTGGTGTTCTCATGTAGTGTTTAGCTATGTCCTGCGTAACAGAGAATAAATGTTTGAGGAAGCCCCCCTTTTCCCTTTTCTTTTCCCCACATTTCTGCCTGACTGAGTGTGTGTGTGTGTGTGTGTGTGTGTGTGTGTGTACATATCATCAGGATATTTTGATATGTATACATCCTCCATTGTAACCTGGTACACTATATATGGATATGTTCATGTCTGTAAGTACATATACACATATATACAAAATGCGTATGCATAGCTGTATGTAAACACATATATATAACGTACTAGGTTACAGTTGTGGCCTGGGTGAATAAATTCCAGAAATTCGCAAGGATTTTTCCCAAGGGCGATACAACTTCCACATGTGAACACCCAGACTCTTTATGTGACTCTTAAAGTTTGAAATCCTTAGATGCTAAATTATTGTAGCGCTAAGATCAAAGGCAGACAGGACAGTCTCTTGGAAGACAGTGACAGTGCATCCCCCGTTCAAACAGAAATAGGACCAAAGAGCCTCTGTGATGTCTCATCTATCCACGTTCCTCACAGCAGGCCCCGTGAAAAGGTCTACCTGCTGTGAAACATGGGCCGGCTCTTTTAAATGAAGGTGCGTGTCAGCCTCAGTGTCTCCAGGGACTTGTGCCTACGGAGCACAGAAGTTGCTTGGTACCTGCTTCAGTTAAATCTCTTGCACTTTATTTCCTGTGGGGGTTTCTCTCTCTCTCTCTCTCTCTCTCTCTCTCTCTCTCTCTCTCTGTCTCTTTTTCTACTTTAGAGTTGTTTTACTTGATGTTATTGAGCACACCTACCTTTTTTTAGCCGCCTTGCCAGCCAAATGATGAATACCAGCCCTGAGAATGCAGTGACCATGACAGCTACTGGGATGAAGAGGGGTTTGTAGTTGCCTTCCTTGATCATTGAGAAGCTTCTGTCCGTCTCTGAAAGAGGAGTCCGTAAGGCATACGGCATGAAACCACAGCAGTATTTCCTTAGTGCAGCTCATGATATTTGTCATTTCGGTCTTCTGATATCCCCCCAATAAGAACGTATACAACAATGGAGGGGAGTAGCACGGGAAGGCCACAGTGTCTACACAACTGGACTGTCCTCTAGCCTGGTGCCTATGGGGTCACAGGTCTCAGATCTGCAACTGCCGGAATCCCTCAGGTTGTGCCTAAAAACACTAACAGGCAGTATCCCCGTGGTGTTTTGTTCCTGGTCTTGCTTAAAAGTGGATTCTGAGCACAGTGAAGAGCTGAAAAGCTTAATCTCTAGCTGCAAGGAAAATGAAGCCAGCAATCTGAGCTGGGCAATTTGTCAATCAAAGGAAGCTGCTACTACCACCTACTTTAAAGGAAGTGTGCAAAAGTGTTACTGCTTACATGCCCAGGATCTGCAATGATCTAAAGAGATGTATTTGTAACACTTCCCTTCATTTCCATCCAAATCAATTACAAGGGTGCTTCTACATATCCCTCTGCAAATACCAACTAGGTTTGTTTTACAGCCTTTTATTGGAAAGAGAAACTTTAATCTGAAAAAAAAAAATCTATCTTCTGATGCCTCCCAGTGAAGGAATCTGCTTTTACACATTGGCAACTGTTGGTTTGCGAAAGATGAGGAAATGAAAACTAAGTAGGCTGGAAAGGAAATGTACTTTTATGAGCCTGGCATACAGCCTTACTGTAATGTCTTCTCAACCACCTTCCTGCTCCCCCACCCCCACCTCATCTCTCTAAACACCCAGAGATCTTCTACAGCTTCTTTGGGGCCTATCACGTCTCTATTGAGCTCAGACAGTCTGCACTGAGCAGACATTGGTAGCTGTTATTGCATAAGCTAATTTATTGTACACTTATTTTAGCACTTTTTAAGGTATTCCATTGGGGGAGAATTGTGTACATCTCTGTCATGTGCCTCTTATTATACATAAAGATGAGGAGGATGTGGTCTTTTGCATGCATAGGCAGGTCTGGGAGACATTAGCTTAGGATAGTGGAGAACTCTCAATTTGTTGTGAGTTAGGTAGTGACCTTTAAAGAGGCGTTTTAAAGTACTAACAGAGAAATCAAGTTGTGGTGGAACAGACAATATGGGCCAGACCTGCACTACAAAGAGACTCCAGGACAGCCGAGGCTACACAGAGAAACCCTGAAAGAGAAAGAAAGAAAGAA